CCCCAAAACCCCAAAACCCCAAAACCCCAAAACCCCTTATAACCTAATTTTTTTTGAAAAATAATTTAAATATGCTTGATAACAATCAAAAGAGCCGTATTCGTGAAGACTCTAAGGCATGGAGCGAGGAATACCCTAAAATGGATCCTTTGAGTAACCTCAAAGATAATACCCCTCTCAAGAGAGCTAAGGAGATGTATGCACAGTGTATTGAGAAAGCCAGGAGTGCTAGTCTCAATAAACAGAGCAGTTCTAATTCAAACGGGCTGAATTCCAGTTCCCTCAGCTTATCCAGAAAGGCCTCTTCAAGACAGGATGCAAGCAATGTACCTGAGGCTGAATGCATGAAGATTCACCTAGACTTATTAGGTAAAAGAGCTGATTTGGTCTCACCCAAGCCTGTCCGGGTGAAGCTCATTTATAAGATCGACAACCCTGATGAGCTTGGAAAGCTCGGTGATGGCAGAAAGAAAGGTCAATTCTATGAACGGATGTTTAAAATTGACACAAGGATGAAAGGTAAGACATTAATGCTTCTAGCACAATTATCTAATTTCTGTGATTTTTAGACCGAGCAGGAAATTTAAAAGAAGGAGGCTCTATAATGCTCAACTTGACAAATATGCTTAGCGCACTTTTTAACGAAACTATTGACTCAGGGAAAGCTTTCGATAGAAGAGCTAAGAAGATAATCAGGTCACAATATCGATTAATCACTCCCTCAAATGTACCAAAACCTGGATTCCCACAGACAGAGGCAAAGCAGGGTGCACAGTACGTTAATTCTTCTATTTATAGATCAAAATTGGCTCATAATACCAGTACTAAAGTAACTTTACTCTAACAATTTTAGGACTCTGAAGCACAATTTGATAACAAAATTAACGGTAGGGTTCATTGTAACGACCAAATTTCCTCCTATCCAACACCCATGGCTCATCAATTTTTGTAGGTTTGGGATCACCTTGCAGTCAGGCACCTGAGCTAGGCCAGAAATTTCCTTTAGCTTGTTCAAATGCATTTGACACAAACAAGTCCTCCCAATTAGAGGAAGAAATCAGCAAGCTACAGAAAGAAATAGAGAGACTCAGTACAGTAGTCACTCAGCTTGAGACTGAACATCAGGAGAAGGACAAGGTCATTCTAGGAATTAAGCAAGAATATGAGAGCAAAAGAAGCCAAGCTGAAGCTCTTAATGAAGAAAATACTACCTTCAGACAAGTCATTGGTATTAACGAAGCTTCTAACTTTTAGAGTCTCAGAATATTAGGTTTAAAGAAAAGATTGACCAAATGGCTGAAGAGAAGCAGCAGAAGGACAGAGAGATTGCTAATTTGATCAACCATATTCGAGAAAATGAGTCTCAAAATGAAGAAAATTTAGGTAATTCTGAAGACAATTTATAGGCTTTGAGAGGAAATTGAACATGCTTCAACAACAGCTCCAGGAAAAACAACAGTATATTTTTAAAGTTGAACAAGAGTACCAAGGCTTAGAGCAAGATTCTCAGACAAGGACTCAAGCGTTTGAAAAAAGAGTCACTTCACTACAACAAGAAATTGCTAATCTTGAGGAGCAAAAAGCAACATTCGAACATGAAAAATCTACTTATGAACAGCAGATTGCCTATTTTGAGCAGGAAAAATATAATTTTGATGAAGCACAAGAGAACCAAAACAGTAAGCAAGAAGAAAGAATTAGTGCTCTCATGAAGGAAAAGAGTAAACTTGAGAAAGAAGTTGTGCTCTCACAGAATAAAATGGTACAGCTACAGAAGGAAATGAACGACACTAACCTCCAAAGTCAGGAGCATCTCTCTAAAATTCAGAACCAGCTGGAAGAAATTAATAGAATGAATGAATACATTAGTGAGATTAAAGAAGAAAACCTATGTCTCAAACAGAAGTACAAAGACCTTGAAGCTAAGGGTCTTGAGGCTAAAGGAGCTTCAGAAGACTTCGCTGAGGAAAAAGACCAGTTAAACCAGAAAATAGCTCAATTAACTAAAGATCATGATGATAAGGATCAGAAGTACATCAAACTTATGGATAAGCTAAAGCATAACCAGGACCAGTACCTTGCCTTACAGAAAGAGCATGAGGCTGAGCTCAGTGGTTATATACATAAGGACCAGCATAAAGCAGAGATCTCTAAACTGCAACTATCCAACCAAGAACTAGTAAAAGAGATTAAGAAACTCCATTTATCACTTGAAGAGAGGAACAAGGAAGAAAAGAGGCTCAGAGAGATTCTCAATGCTCCTAAAGAAAGCCAAGATGAAAATAGTGGAGGTATCAGCCACGACCAACTCAGAATTTTAAAGGAATATTCTGACATCATGAAGAAAATGTTCGAATATGATGACTCTGGAACTCTTAAGTCTGGAAGAATATGTCTCAAGGATAGTATTGATAAGGTCCTCAGTGATTATGACGGCCTCGTGGTCAGATACCAGCAAGTAGAACAGCAATATATCGACATCAAGCTGAAATACGCAGAATCTGAGGAAATTAAGGAACGTTTAGTTACTAAATTAGAAGGTTTTATGGTTCAAGGTATGAAAAATACTAATCCTTTAGGACCTCCAAGAGACGGGTCTATCGGTATCAAGAAAATTGAAGACAAGAAGAGCGAAGATGGGCTCTTCGCTAAAGCAAGCACGCTGTGGTCAGGTGCTGGAAAATTCTATTCCAACAAATTTGGAAATAAAGGAGAAGAGAAGCCTTAATTTTCGACAGCCATGAACTCAAGTTAAAAAAATAAAGTTTTTGGATACATCTTTCAGTGACCAGAGCTATGCTTGGGGTTTTGGGGTTTTGGGGTTTTGGGGTTTTGGGG